ATCAGTTGAGATACCAATAATTTAATCTACACAGAAAATGATAAGTTGAGTACAATAATAGATGTCGCCGAGGTAGAGGAGAGGACCACGCATTTCTTATTGAAGGCATAATTAAAAAAAAAAAGATCTACAAATACTAGTACATTCGTACCAGATTATTCGCTTTTAAACATGCCCAATGATATTATTCGCGTATAGAAAAACTTTGCTCACGTCATGATTAAAGTAGGTAAAAACTGTTACTTCTTTTTTTTTCCAACCACGTTAAATTTGTATAATGTCGGAAACCATATTAAAACTAACAAAAATAAAGTTATGATATCTATAATGAAATGTAAAAGTAAAACTATGTGGCCTCTACAAGATACCGATGGATCCTTCCCGGACTCTGAGTTGGCCATCACTATCCATCAAGCCTCCCTGGTTCATCAGCGATCAGCTTCCCCAAACTTTTCCTCCTCAAAAAGGCAGAAGAAGAAAAAGAGAAAGCTGTTTGCTCGAAATTCACCAATCTCCCATGATGGTCCTCCCCTTGCTACAGGGGACCACCACCTCCACTAAATCATTTTTATGACAGATACATTTTTTTGGAACGTGCGGGGTATAAACAATGTATCAAAGCATTATTTTCTTGTTACTTGGGTAAATACTAGGTAAATAATTTTTGGAGCTTTTTTAGAAACGCACGTCAAGAATCGAATAAAAACCATGTTTTATCATCTTTTGGACCGGATTGGTCATTGTTATCAAACTACTATCATTCAGATTTGAGGAAAATCTGGATTATCTTCAAGCAGCCTACTATAGTTTCTCATCTATTCTCTGATTCTCAGTCGATAACCTGTGATGTTACCCTGGAAGATGGATTTACTTTTGTCTTCACCGCTCTCTAGCATCAAATGTCTCAGAAGAAAGAATTCTCTTTTGGCAATCCCTCCATAATACTATGGTTTCTTTTGATCTGAGCACTAAGCCATGGTTGGTTTGCAGGGACTTTAACGAAATTACAGGCCTTTCAGAATCTTCAAACCAGAACGTTATTTCGTCTTCTCCGGATATGAGACATTTTGCTGAGTGCTTATCTGATTTGGGACTTACTGACATGGCATCACAAGGTCCACGATTTACTTGGTCGAATCATCGGCCCTCTGATCTAGTGGCAAAAAAATGAGACAGATGTCTAACTAATGTGAACTGGCTCTCCTCCTTCTCTTCTAGTCACTGTACTTTTGAGCCGTCAGAGTTTTCTGATCATACCCCGTGTCACATAAAACTTTTCTCGCCCCTCCGACGTTTGGTATGCACCCCTTTAAATTCTTCAATTTTATCTTGAAGCTGCCATCTTTTCTTCCGTTTGTTAAACAGGCTTGTGAGGGAACCAGAGCACCGGCAAGGAACCTGAGGGATTTCTGTTATAATCTCAAAAGCCTGAAGCGACCTATAAAGACTCTTTCTCGAGAAAACTTCAGTGAAATTAAAAGGAGGGTACAAGATGCATCTCGGGCCCTCAAATCTCTTCAACTGTTAGCGCTTCAGAATCCCTCTGCAGGGGCTTTGGATCTAGAAAGACAAGCTCGTGAATTGTGGATGTTACTCCGTCAGGCTGAGGAAAGTTTTTTCAGGCAACGGTCTTCTATTAAATGGTATGAAGAAGGAGACCAAAATACTAGCTTCTTCCATAGAGTGACTCAAGCCAGAAACGCTTCAAACGCAATAAAATACCTACTTAGACCTGATGGCTCCCGCTTTACCTCGCTTCAAGAGGTCCATCTGATTGCAGAAAGACATTTTGCAAATATCTTGTGTTCAATTAAAAGAGATTATTGTCCGTTTCTGGCACAATACCTTTCCCGCCTGTTTCCCACTGTTTGCTCCCCACCCCACCAGTCAATTCTCACTGGCGTTGTTTCAGGAGACATGATCAAAACAACGCTGCATCGACTCTCTCTGTCTCGTACTCCATGTCCAGATGGTTTTACGGCAGAATTTTTCAGAGCTTCTTGGGGTATTCTTGGTGCTGAGCTGATAGCTTCAGTACAGGATTTTTTCGCTGCATCCTTCATGCCTACATCGCTTAATGCTACCTCCCTGGTGCTTATTCCAAAGTGTCGAGGTGCAGATTCCATCAAAGAGTTTCGACCCATCTCCTGCTTAAATATTATTTATAAGTTCATCTCCCGCCTCCTAGCCGATAGACTCAAGTGTATCTTGCCGGCCTTCATTCTCCCGAACCAAACAGCGTTTGTGAAGGATCGCTTACTCATGGAAAATGTGCTTCTGGCCTCAGAGGTTCTTCAGGGCTATCATAAAAGAAAATATATCCCCCCGAATTACCCTAAAGGTGGACATTTCAAAGGCGTTTGACTCGGTTCGATGGGATTTCATCTTATGCGCCCTGGAAGCATATTGTTTACCTTCCTCCTTCATTGGTTGGGTAAAGGCTTGCGAATCTTCTCTGAGCTTCTCCATTAGTATAAATGGAGTCTCCTTAGACTATTTCAAAGGAAAATCAGGTTTGCGCTAGGGAGACCCTCTCTCCCCGACGCTATTTTTTATGGTCATGAATGTGTTGTCTCTGATGCTAAATAGGGCTGTGAAAGATGGAATTTTCGGATACCATCCAGGTTGTGATTATCTCCAATTGACTCATTTAGCTTTTGCTGATGATTTGCTTATTTTCCTGGATGGTTCAGAGGTCTCTCTAGCTGGGGTTTTTACAGTGCTTTCCCAAATTGAGAAGATGTCGGGATTGTCGGTAAACATCGACAAAACTTCCATGTTATGTTTTGGAATTCTACCTCAAGTCTTGGAGAATATAAAGAGGCGTTTTTCTCTGTCCCCGGGATCCCTTCCGGTTCGCTATCTTAGTTTCCCCCTTTGCTATAGGAAGCTCACAGTAAAAGATTGTGATCCTTTGATCTCTAAAATCCGTTTGAAGCTTAATAGTTGGTTGTATCGCCCTTTGAGTCTGGCCGGTCGCCTCCAACTACTATCCTCAGTCTTCACATGTATTGTAGGCTTCTGGTCCAATGCCTTTTCATTCCAAAGAAGGTAACTAAGATGATCAATAGCTTGTCAGGCTCTTTCTTGTGGCATGGCTGTTTGGATAAGCCTTTGGGTGCTAAAGTTGCTTGGTCGGAACTTTGTTATCTTAAGAAAGAAGGAGGTCTTGGGATAAGAGCTATTTCCTCCTGAAATGAAGTCTTCGGTCTCAAAATGATTTGGATGCTGTATTTTAGATCAGCCTCTTTATGGGTTGCATGGATGAGAAATAAATACATGGCAAAGTCTACTTTCTGGTCCTTTAAGGAGGATAATCCGGCCATATCTTTGATGTTTTAGGCGACTTCTAAAACTCAGGTCGGCAGCTCTATCTTTCTTGAAGATAAAGATTGGAAATGGCAAAGACACTTTCTTCTGGTGGGATCCATGGACACATTTTGGTCCCCTCATCAAATTTTTGGGTCCTCTATCTCCGACATCGATGGGTATTCCTCTAAACTCGCTTGGAAATTACTTGATTACAGGAGCCTATTGGTGCTTGCCACCTGCCAGATCGGATCTTCAACTACAACTGCTGGTCTATTTATCCACTGTTCTCCATACTGCGCACAACGACAAGCCGGGCTGGTTCTTAAGTGACAAGCCATGCTCGCGTTTCAGCTCAAAGGAGACTTGGAATGCTGTCCGACTTTCACGAAAAACGTAATCCAACCTTAGACAGAGTTACCTCTTGGGGTCTGGATGTAGAGCCTATTTGTTTGCTTTGTGGTGCTACAAAGGAATCCCGAAATCATATTTTCTTTGAGTGCCCCTACTCAAAGTCTATTTGGGAGGCGTTGACTCAAAAATTATTGCTCCCTAAAGCAGTTCCCTTTGCCTGGTCATCGGTCTTGACGAGACTTTCCTCTTCCTCTACTACCGCAACTCAGCATCTGGCATTAATTCAAGGTTGGAAAACTATGATCTACGAAATCTGGAAGGAGCGAAATCGCCGATACCATGAGGGTCTCTTGCTCCCTTTCTCTGCGGTTTTTCAAAAGATTCTGAAAGTGGTGTACCTCAAATCCACCGCTTTGAGGAATAGAGGATCAAAGCTTGGTGAGCCTTTGATGCTCTGTTGGTCAAATCGCTGACTTCTTTCAATCGTGCTATCCGGGTTTCACTGATCTGATTCTATATTAGCTGCTGCTAAGTCCATCCCCCACCTCTCTTTTGTATGGCTTTTTCGATTCTGCTTGTATCTGTTGCTTTAATTTTTAATTTAATAAAAATTCTTTAACAAAAAAAAACTATATGGCAAAAATCTATTCCCTAGCATTTTTCAAAAAAAAAACTTAGCAACATTTTATTTTTGTCAAACAAAACCAAAATCCAGCAAAATTTGATTATATATAAAAAAGCATATAAATGTTTTAACATGCAAAATGGATGGAGTATGGAAGGAATCCTTTGAATACTCAGGATTAGGATGATTTTGTCAAAGAAATAGAATACTGTGTATTTTAATGGATATAAAAACAGTTCGCCAAAGTATAACGGTTCTATATTTAGAGTTGGAGGTTTTGATATGGGCAATGCACAATATGCTTGATGGAAGGAGATTTGAGCTCATCTTTCTTACAGACTGTTCCGACTTGGTGAAGATAGTATCTAATCTAACGGAGTGGCCAGCATTTGCATTATATTTGGAGGAGTATGAGACAAGCAGAAGAGAATTCGTTTTTTTTACAATAGCTCATATACCATGCCCACAAAACATGAAGGCAGGTAATTTAACATGGAATGCTGGATCATGTCTTCACCAATTAGACTATGTAAACTCAGTCCCATCGAATTGGTTCGCTGATTTGTTATAGGAAATTGAAACTGTTGTAAAAAAAAAAAAAGTATATAATAATAAAATTAATTGCGTAGAGAGGGGACAAGGGAGGCTTTAGGTGAATCACGCAGGAAATAACCTCCGTTCATTTGGCAACTAGAGACCGCAACTGGTAGGGGTTAAATCGTACTTCAACATCCGAATCATACTGTATTATTTGTAGTGAGAAGGGTAAGATCGTAATAACAAGAATCGTCGGGAATAAAAATCAATTGTTTAGTTCCATCGACTATTGAGCTCAAATGCTATAAACCCGTCGCCGTTGCTTAGAGCTCAAAAGCGTGTCGAAGCCGCTTTGCATCTTCAAAGGCAATCTTCAAAATTTTCATATCTTTAAACTCTCAGTAGTAGCCAGTCTCTAGAGAGAGAGAGATACATACAGAGCTCGAGAAGAAGCCTCTAGAGAGAGAGAGATAGAGAGAGAGAAACGTTTTTTCTTCAGAGCTTGACGAACGGATAAAGGTAAAAGAAATTCAGATTATGTTACTGTTTCTGTTTTTTTTCTTTTTCTTTCGAAATTGAAAAGATTAGTTTGAAAGCTTTTGCAATCGAGTCAAATCTCGGTTTATAGTTTTCTTCTATTTTCTCGGGAATTTTTTTGTTTACCGATGGAATATTCCACGGATTGTTACAGTAAGAGGAAGTTTTCAAAATCTTGATACGTGCGTCTTCATCGTTAGATCTATTTTCTTCATCGTCCCCAAGAGTTTTTTTTTTTTTTTTACTAGCATTTTCTAGATTCGAATCTCAATTGATTCTGTTCTGTTTTATAATCTGTATTAAAAACCAAACTTGTAATTTGAATATATCAACAAAGGATGGCTTTGGTTTTAGCATGATTAATAAAAGCAATTAAGTATCCACATAAAGGCTCACGAGATTTGAGGCAACAAAAGATAAATTAAAAGCTCACGAGATTTTTTTTACTATTTATTAGTTTGAGGTTTCGGTGAATTTTTTCAGGTTCTGTAAGAATATTCGTTTAAATATACCAATTAGAGGTCATAAATTCATTTTAAGGTAACCAATCTGATAAACTTGAGCATAATAAATAATTAAGCAATAAAAAAAGTGAAGAGAATTCACCTCTAAAAGTGTCCTCTTGAGTGTTTATAGAGACACTGCAACAATGATCTGTCCCTAACTACGACACGTTGTAGAGATTCTCCAGAAGTAACCTTTGTATAACGCCAAGAGTAATAATTATGAAGATTTTTCTACAAAAAAAAAAACAGAGTATAATTCCATTTGATAAATGGAATCTTCTTCTTAAGATTTTACTAATTTTTCATAATATATCTTATCTCAGGATTTATCCTCAAAGAGAGAGAGAGAGAGAATTGAGAAAAAAGCAGTTTTCATGGGTTCTCTAATGCAATCTGAGCAAGAGATGGAGAAGAAACCAGTAGGGATTCGATTCTTGGAACGAATCAAAGGCTCAAAGCTCTCTTACAACGCGTATCAAGCGATAGTCTTGATCGTGACGTTCCTCGCTTACGCAAGCTATCACGCCGCAAGAAAAACAACAAGCATTGTGAAGAGCGCGCTTGATCCACAATCTCCAGATACAGGGCTTAACTCACTCCTTTTGAGATTCACCTCGTATCGATCAGCCGGAAAAGAACAAGATGACGGTGGTTGGGCTCCGTTCAACGGACCAAACGGAACGGTTCTGCTCGGTGAGATCGACGTTGCGTTTCTTGCGGTGTACGCTTTCGGGATGTACTTCGCGGGACATTTGGGAGATAGGATGAACCTGAGGATATTCTTGACCGTTGGTATGATCGGAACCGGTTTGTTCACTTCTCTGTTCGGCGTCGGTTATTGGGCGAATGTTCATAGCTTTTACTACTTCTTGATCATGCAAATGCTCGCTGGTCTGTTTCAATCCTCTGGTTGGCCTTCTGTTGTCGCTGTGGTTGGAAACTGGTTTAACAAGAAGAAGAGAGGATTGATCATGGGGATATGGAACGCGCACACTTCCGTTGGGAACATCACTGGCTCGTTGATCGCTGCTGCGATGCTTAGATATGGTTGGGGATGGTCTTTTGTGGTTCCTGGTGTGGTTATAGTCTTGGTCGGGCTTGTGAATTTCGCTTTCTTGCCTGTGAATCCGGAGACTGTTGGAGCAGAGAGAGACGAGGATGTTGTTGGTTCCAGTGAGAAGATCGGTGACTCTGTGAATGTCCCGTTGCTATTGAGCTCGTCGGATTCCGAAACCGACGACAAGAAACGGCCTGTTGGGTTCATCGAGGCATGGAGGATTCCGGGAGTCGCGCCGTTCGCGCTTTGTCTCTTCTTTGCTAAGTTGGTCGCTTACACTTTCCTCTATTGGCTCCCTTTTTACGTTAGCCACACAGGTAATTTTTTTTTTCCGACAGCAATAGCACAAATAAATAATAATATTTTATTAAGTTCAGATTATGTGACTGATAACAATTTTTTGTATGATGATTTTGCAGCGATTGAAGGAGAGTATTTATCAGACGAAACAGCGGGAAATCTTTCGACAATGTTCGATGTTGGAGGTGTGGTCGGAGGGATCATGGCCGGTTACATTTCAGACAGGATCGGAGCAAGAGCTATAACAGCTGCGAGTTTCATGTACTGCTCAATACCAGCTCTGTTCTTCTACCGGAGCTATGGTCACGTGTCGCTATTAGCCAACGCGTCTCTCATGTTCTTGACGGGAATGTTGGTTAATGGGCCTTACGCTTTGATCACAACGGCTGTTTCAGCCGATCTCGGGACGCATAGCTCGTTGAAAGGAAACTCAAGAGCTTTGGCTACAGTGACGGCTATAATCGACGGTACGGGATCCGTTGGAGCGGCAGTTGGACCGTTGCTAACGGGTTATATATCGTCGAGGAGTAGCTGGACCGCGGTTTTCACCATGTTGATGGGAGCTGCGTTTGTGGCTGGACTGTTGCTTACGAGGCTTGTGATGGCTGAAGTAGCGACTAAGATAGCTGAGTCTAGACCGTCGGAGTCAGTGTGTAGATCTCCCGTGGACCATCAGGGTCTTGTGCTAGAAGTGTGACCAACTTTGAACGCTATTTTAGTTGCGTTTGTAAGTTGTGTTTTTTTTTGTATTAAAGAGGGAAGACTCGGGACCGGAGTTTTAGGTCAAGATTTGGTCTATGGGGGAATTTGTAAACATGTAAACTGTATTGTGAATGTACATAAATTAATATATACTATATATATATATATTGTTCTTGATTTGATCAATTTATCCAAGAAGAATGTCATCCCTTGTAGTTAGATAGTATTGGAATGATAGAAGTTATCATTTGTACATAAATTGGAATGTGATCTGTATTGTGAATGTACATTGGTTTTTGCAAAAATTACAAATAAATCCGAAAAATTCTCCAAATTTTGTTAGAAACTTCAAGTGATCATTTCATGATAGGAGTTCATTGGTTAACATAGTGTTGATAATCGAGATTAATAATATGTTTCGATGAGCCGTACTGAACTTCAGGGTTAGTCTAATATTCAACGTCGGGTCTTTTTTTTTTTTTGGCTGTATAATAATTAAAATATATTTAGAGGTTTCCACGCTAACATGTTTTACCAAATATTTTCTTTTTTTACAAAGTTTAGTGTCATGCAATTTGGCCAAAGGGTTCTTATAAAATATGTGAACACCTAAACTTCTGATCAAACAAGTGGAATTCATATTTATATGAACTAAAACATTATATAGACATTGTGTGGGTAAAATGTATAATCTACTTTAATTATCGTCATGGTATATTATTGGAATTAGTGTCAGCCCTCTGTTTATAATATAGTTAAATCTATGATTCGGAGATTAAGGACCACAGCTTCTGATTTCAGATATTTGATCGTGGTTTTAGACCACCCCATTTGATTACTGATCTGTTTAATAATACTAGCATACAAGTTATAGACTATCTAGTGTTGTCGTCTTCTGGTATTTTATACATGGACCACATTCAGAAACCATTACACAGAGAGTATTTGATAGGTTTGGTTAAATATTCATTTATAATCAATCAAATTAATTATTCAGATCCCACTAGAAGCTGTGCTTAATTATGTATTACAATGACGTTCGAATTCTCTGGATTGAGAAAATTTATGATTTAATTTAGAAAAACTTATACTGTTCTTGTAAAACTTAAAACTTGCTTGAGTTTAAAGCTAATATAAATCAAAACTCTTAAGGTAGTTTTTCCTTTGTTTCCACATTATTTGAATACTTTTATTCTAATATGTACTCGTTTTTTTTTTTTGAAATTCGAATAAATCCGTGTTTGCATTAGTCACTATGTGGAGGCTACATCTTATAAAAACCTGATCCATATATTGATAAAATAGTAATTTCCATTGAATTATATATTGTATAGATTCTTTAACAAAAAAAAGAGTAATTTACACATTAATAAGAGTAAGACTGATTATATATTTGCTCCAATTTCAACGGAGCACAAATAGTTTATTTATGTAAATATAGGAGAACTGCATTATATACGAATTTTTTTAATCACGTTAACATGAAGATCTTAAAAAAGAAAAGTCAAAAATAAATAATCCATACTATTATTTGAAAGACATTTCAATATTTAAACATTTTTTATGTGGTATATTATATATAATGCTATTAGTTTTTTAGCTTTTTCTTAGAATTTCATTAGGAGTACTTTTGTCATAGATTTTTGGCCAAATCTTAATTATTATTTGATAAAAAAATCTGATGTGTCATCACCTTAGCAAAAGTTAGTGTAAATTAATGGTGATATGAAATTGTGACATGAAAATGTGACATGGTAAATTTCCTAAAATAAATAAAACATTTTGATTGGTTGAATTATAATTAAATAAATTATAAAATTATAACATAAATACACTAGATTATAAAACTAAAAAACTAATTAACAGAAAATAATAGTTACTATAAATTTCAATTTGTTTTGACATATATTCATAATAAATTGCCTCAAAAATGATTACGAAAATTTTACAACCAATATATATTTTATATTTTAAATATAAAAATAATAATAGATAATCCAATAAGATAGTATATACACTATATATTAATAATGTTAGGAGTATGATATATTATTATTTGTAAATAATTTTTAACATTTTTATATTATTTTTTTTTCTGAAATTTGCGTAGCTTACATTTCTATCTCAAGATATCTCTTATCCTTTTTTAAATAAATTAAAAAGTTTATATCATACTCATATACAGTCTCATTGTAGATCGAAAATTTAAGATCAGAAATAAAACACAATGTAACTGGATAAAAAAAATTATAAATAAGAAAAAACAAATATGAATAAGAAGTAGAAGTATAAAAAATCTCTACAGTTTTGTTTTTCTATAACACTCTCAAACTTTGTTTTACGGAGTCATTTAAAAAATTTAAGAAAGAAATTTTATAATAAATGCATGTGTGGCTCAAATTTTATAATGAATACATGCGTGCAGACCAACCATAACAAATTTATTTTATTCATCATACCAATTCTTCAATATTGGACAAAAATATGAGCAGAGAACTAGCGGAGAATTTTATAAAATATAATTTCATAAATTTTATAACAAATATTTTTATTATGAATTTTATTTGATATAAATAAACATATGAATAAGAAGTAGAAATAAAAGTAAAAATGAATCTTTACGACTTTGGTTTTCTGTAAAATTCCCAAGCTATGTCTTTGGTTTAAAGCATCTCTCACCCCCCTTTATTTTAAATCTTCTAATTTAGAGGAAAAATAACGATGTTATTTTTTCTTATATAATGGGAGGAAAAAGTAATAATCTTTCTTTCTTCTTTAAAATAGAAATAGGTTAAAGATAAATAAACCTATATTTTAGAGGAAAAAATAAAAAAAATACATTGGAGATGATCTTAATATTTAATATATTATTCAAGGTTAAGAAAAAAATATGAGTCAAAGAAGACAAAATAAAGAATAATTTTGATCGATTTTATGTTTTCATTTTGAAATATTTAAAAATATTATCTTACACATATTAATTCTTTCATGTGTATATATTTTTCAACATCTTAAAATATTATTTCATGTATATATTATGATCCATTATATATAAAATTAACACATATATCAAAGTTAGGAACAGAAAAATTCTTATTTTGTAATATAATAATTAAATATTAAATATATTATTTTACACCTACAACCATACACATATAAGTTTAGGATCCGGCTTGTTTAAACACTGTGGTTACAGAGAGTTTGTGGAAGCGAGCAATTGCAGGCTATAAAAAATTTGATGAAGAGATGAACGGAGTGCTACTGGAAAATTTTAAAGAATAAGAATTCACAAAATTTTATTGAGAAACCATATATCATAAAATGCTGAAAAATAAGAAATTTTGGTTAAATACGAAATGATAGAAACGGTTTTCGTGATTATTGTTAAACACAAAAAACTGTATTGTGTAAAATCATAACCTTTGCAAAAAATATCAGAAAAACTAATCAATGCCTAAATATTACAATTCACTTATTTATAACTCATACCTACATGCATAAATATACATATTTTTTTATAAAAGAAATCAATCATACATTATAAAAATATATATTACAAAACACATATTTTGATATTTTATTTTAAAGCATAAAAGCCATATTTCAATTTTTTCACAAATATACGTGTAGATATAAATATTAATTATGCAAAAATCAAATTCGCATGCAAACTTGTCGTGTATACATTTTCTTAATCGATTACAGTCTAATTTTAATTTTAGTTATTAGTCAATTTATATCTATTAAAAAAAATCTCTACATGTCCTAAGAGCGGTGAGGTGGTTGGTATGCACGAACGTGCGGACCAACCATCTACACGCTCTTAGGATAAGTAGTGATGGTAAAACTCATTTTGGTTTATTTAGCAATATGTCAAGGAAAAATATATATTTAAAATATATATATTGACAAGAGTATATTGTGCAAAGGGAAAAAGAAATAAAATATAGATAATATTCAAAACATATTATAAGAATCTGGATTAACGTTTTTTATCTTCAATTTTTATTGAAATCTATAATATTTTCCATTTGATTTATTATTATTTTTAATTATTAAATATTTATATAATAATATTAATACATAATTAATCATATACAAATAAAGTATATTTAATATAAAATATTAATCATATATTTATCATATAAAATATTTTATAGTCCGCACACGGTGTGGGCCGATCATCTAGTCTGAATTAAATACATTCATATATAATAAAATTTTCGTTAAACTGTTTACTAATCACTACTAATTTACAGCATATGATTAATTCAGATTAATTTCATCGTATAATTAATCTATCAAAAATATCAATATCGAAGGCATGGAATAGTTACCTTCATATGTTCTTCCCTCTCTATCAAGGTCTTCATGTCTTACCGATGTAAATGCTCTATCGAAATCCTGTGAATTGAACGAAACAATTGAAATTTTAGACCTCGACCAAAGTATAAGATCTATTCACTGTATTGTATATGTAACAACATTCTTTTAATCAATTCACCGTAATCTAAAGGAGGAATTAACCATTGATCTCTCGGCATCTCAAACTAAATCGATTCAATGTGATCAAATTATACTATCAAGTGACCTGTTGTGACATCTTATCAAGTTCTAATACCTTTTCAATCAAGATTTTTCAATATTAAGGAGAAATTAAAAACTGAACTTTCGGCATCTAAAACAAAATCGATTCGATGTGATTAAAATCTACTATCAAGTTCCCTGTTGTTACATCCTATAACCAGTGAAAAATATGCAGAGATGAATGCATATAAGTTCTAACACCCTTTCAATCAAGTTTTTCATTCGAAGGAAGAAACTATATTTTGGACTCTCTGCATCTCATCCTCGAAGATTTGTATTCATTACTTATATACTAACAATTGTTTTGTCTTATATCGTATAAACTTATATGAAGAGTAATGTTATGTAACAATGTGTAATGAATCCGTGTTCAGGCAAAGATAATGGGACATGACCAACTTAAAGATTCATTTCATCTCAAAATATGAATTTCTGTTTATTTTTCCAAGAGGTTGTTTGGTTCCTGCACTGATGGGAAATCTCATAAGAACCTATATCTGACGTTTCGATATCATAACAATCTATTAATATATTTGGAAGCCCTAGAACGATCCACCTGTAAAACAAGTTAGAGTCTTCATTGTTTTAGTTGTATAAGATAGAAATGTCTACGATTTC